CCCTACGCCCCGCCCTGACCACCCCAAAGCGCGTCGCGTTGGGGCAGCCGCGCTGCGCCGCCCCGCGCCGCCAGACGTATATATAACCCGGCGGGCGCGCCACACGGCGACCCGCAAGCCGCGCATCTCCGCCCTTTGCAGGCTGGCAGGAAACGGCTGAATCTTGAAAGAACTTCTTTTGCCCTCTTCGACCTTTTCTTCTCAATCGCCTATTTTGCTTTAATATTCTCATTTACCCCTTCATCCCGCGACGCCCCGTCGAAGATGATGCAGTCTCCTTCGCTCCTCACGTGAAGGAAATGCAAGAAAAGCTCCCGTTCCCCTCGGTTTCAATCTTTCTACTCGGAGATGGTACGACAGGTAGCAAAGCAAACCCAATTGCAGTTTCTCATCTACAGTTCGAATGCAAACAAAAAGACACGCTAAGCAAAGTACATACAAAATGCTGAACATTGTTGAGCAAAAACAGTACAAGCAAAATGATGCATACAAATTGTTGCATATTGTATACAAATGGTGCTGAATGTATTTGTTGTTTTCATATTTGTTTCATATTATAATCACAGTGTTTCAGAGATGAACAAAAAAGCTTGCTGAAAGGAGATCTTCTAGAACTTTTCCCAACATAAGTCATCATTGGTAATATCCACTAAAAGATACAGTGCGCCAGAAAAGTCTCAGCCAAATCAGAGACTCTTCTTAAAACTTGCATTTATGTCGGTAGCAACCAGATCACTGGGAAATAAGTGAAGAGGACAACACTTCCACCATCTGTTACGATATTGGTGAGTACACAATATACGTTTTATTTTGTTACATGATGCAGCTCGTATTGCCAACATAATTTCTGTTGTTAGCGCTCTCACCAGCAAGATGCCACTGCGTAGAGACGTTCCTGGCTCATTATATATTTTCATTCAGAAATTTAAAAAAAAATACTCTCTGAATTTTGTTTTACCATTGACTCCAATGTAGAAACTATAGGATCTACTTTGTCTGAAATATTTAATTAATGAATAATGGACATGTTCCGCAACAACAGGAGATCAATATGCCATTTGAAACAGATGTTGCTGAAAAAGGTAAAATCTCAGATGTCATAAGGAAAAGACAAGGCTTAGAGGGAATTCCTTCCCGTCATTTCTCCCTTACCATTTCTCACTGCATCTCGCCCCTCCTCGCAATTTCTCTCCACTCGTTTCCCACTTTCTCTCCTCCCTGCCCGCCATTTACCACATTGTCTCGCCCCTCCCTACTGTGATATCTTTGGCAGCCACCAACACAGACGGAACGAACAGAAACTGCACAGACGTGTGCCAATGGGTGTCCTCAGGTTTGCCTTCACCCTGACAAAGCGGCCTTTGCACTCCCGGCAGCCCTGGCGCAGGCCAACGACCGCTGCAAAGGCGCGAAGTGTCCCTGAAGCGACGGCTTCGCCCCCCCCCTCCCGCACCCGCTTCGGCGCATACCGCCAACGCTTTCGCAGGCGTCGCCAAAGGCCCCTTTCGCCGGTCGCCCTCCAGCGGGGATGCGGAAGACCGCTCGGAGAGAGTGAGCCCTTAGGGCGCCTTCCCACGCTTCCTTCAAGCAGCAGAGCCCTTTCGACGCAGCCACCGCTGGAGCCACGGCCGATCCGCCGCCCGCTGAGGAAGGGGGTGGGGTCCGGAGGGGTAGGTTTCGCCGACCCTCCGGCGACGACGAACAAAGGGACCGCAGCGGGAAAACGCCGCTACCGGCGACGCAGTGGGAAGGATACCATTTAAAGATGTGTTCTGCTAGCGGTGGCGCGT